GCAACACACAGTGTGCAGGAAGTGGGACTCAAGATCAGGGCCAATGACCCTCTCACCCCAGCTTTCCTCCAGTCTCCATGTCATTCTCAGGCTTAGCGCCCTCGGCCTGCCTACAGACTTCTGGGTAAAATGGCAGCAGCAGCCTCCTCCATCCCCTGAAATGAGCTGCTTCCCTGTTTCACACAGGAAAACCTCACTACCTCCTGTCTTCACTGGTTCCTTAATTCGGTATGTCCCAGTACTTCTAACACCAAACCCAATCGCTATCACACCCCCACCCACTCCTGCCAGCCTGTGCTATAACGGTTCTTTCTCTCTCTCCTTTTTTTTTGTTTTGTTTTGTTTTCGTTTTTGTTTTTCGCTTCACTTGTGAGTTCTTTTTTTTTATTGAACTATACATTTTCCCTTCTCCTCTGCCCATCTCTCCTCTCCCCTTCCACCCTCCCCCTTGTCCCTCGTGATCCCAATTTACTCAGTAGATCTTGTCATCTTCCCCTTCCTAGGTGGATCCATGTATGTCTCACTTAGGGTCCTCTTTGATACCTAGGTTCTCTGGGATTGTGGCCTGTAGGCTGGTTGCCCTTTGCTTTATGTCTAATATCTACTTATGAATGAGTACATATTGTATTTGTCTTTCTGGATCTGGTTACCTCACCCAGGAGGCTTTTTCTAGTTCCGTCCGTTTGCCTGCAAATTTCAAGATGTCCATTGTGTAAATGTACCACATTTTCCTTATCCATTCTTTGGTTGCAGGCATTTAGGTTGTTTCCAGGTTCTGGCTATTACGAATAATGCTGTTATGAGCACAGTTGAGCAAGTGTCCTTGTGGTGTGAGTGTGCATACTTTGCCCAAGAGAGTATTGCTGAGTCTTGAGGTAAATCGGTTCCCAATTTTCTTAGAAACTGCCATACTAATTTCGAAAGTGGCTATACAAGTTTGTACTCCCAGCAATGGAGGAGTGTTCCCTTTACTTCACATCCTCTTCAACATGGGCTGTCATCAGAGTTTTTGATCTTGGCCATTCTGACAGGTATAAGATGGTATCTCAGAGTTGTTTTTGGTTTGCATTTCTCTGATGAGCATTTGCTTAAATGTCTTTTGGCCATTTGAGATTCCTCTATTCAGAGTTCTCTGTTTAGCTCTGTACCCCATTTTTAAAAATGGATTATTTCCATTTTTAAAAATGGATTATTTGGTCTGTTGATGTCTAGTTTCTTTAGTTCTTTGTATATTTTGGAGATCAGCCTCTGTCAAATGAGAGGTTAGTAAAGATCATTTCCCGTTCTGTAGGCTGCCGTTTTGTCTTGTTGACCATGTCTTTTGCTTTACAGAAGAAGCATCTGTTTCAGGAGGTCCCATTTATTCATTGTTGCTGTCAATGTCTGTCATACTAGTATTATATTTAGGAAGTGGTCTCCTGTGCCAATGTGTTCAAGACTACTTCCCACTTTCTCTTCTATGAGGTTCAGTGTGGTTGGTTTTATGTTGAGGTCTTTGATCCACTTGGACTTGAATTTTGTGCATGGCAATAGCTCTGGATCTATTTGCATTATTCTACATATCAGCATCCAGTTATGCCAGCACCTTTTGTTGAAGATGCTTTCTTTTTCCATTTTATAATTTTAGCTTCTTTGTCAAAAATCAGGTGTTCATAGGTGTGTGGATCAATATCAGGGTCTTCGATTTGATTCCATTGGTCCACCTGTCGGTTTTTAATGCCAATACCAAGGTGTTTTCATTACGGTAGCTCTACAGTAGAGTTTGAAGTCAGGTATAGTGATGCCTCTGGAAGTTCCTTTATTGTACAGGGTTGTTTTGGCTATCCTGGGTTTTTGTTTTTGCATATGAAGTTGAGTATTGTCCTTTTGAGATCTGTGAAGAATTTTACTGGGATTTTTTTTAAAGATTTTATTTATTATGTATACAGTCTTCTGCCCGCATGCCAGCAGAGGGCAGCAGATCTCATTCAAAGTGGTTGTGAGCCACCATGTGGTTGCCGGGAATTGAACTCAGGACCTCTGGGAGAGCAGTAAATGCTCTTAACTACATCAGTTATGCAGCTTTTATCAACCACATAATTATGTTTTTATTATTTTTCACTTATCTGTTAAAGTATTTATCTTTGTGTTATTGCAGATCAAACCACAGGTCTCCTACATGTATATTGGATGTACATGCCAGCCCTTAAATGCTTTTAACTTGAAATGTAACTTTGTCCTCATCTATTTGAATGGCATGGCTTAGCCCCCAATTTTTTTTTTTTTAATTTTCTGTGTCATGGCAGCAGGAGTGTGAGGCCCCTGGTCATACTGTGTCATCAGTCAGGAAGCAGAGGGAGATGAACACCTGTGCCAGCTCTCGCTCTCCTTTTTATTCGGCCCTACACCCTATCCCATACCCTGGCGCCATCCACATTTAGGGTAGATCTTTCCTCCTCAGTTACCCCAATCAAGAACCGTCCTCACAAATATACCCAGAGATTTCTCTGCTGGGCGATTTGAGATCCCATCGCGTTGACAAGCAATATTAATCATCGTAGGGGGACTTAGCATAGAGGAGCCCACACCCTCTCCCCATTGTGATGTAGGACACGCCCCCTCAGCCCATCCTAGCAGATGCCCATTTCCCAGGATTGTTCACTGAGCTACAATCAGCTGCAGGCTTCAGTTGCATCGGGGTGCATGTCCTGCTGCCTCCTCATGGAGTGTGCCTAGGGGTACCTGGGGCAGACTGACAAAGCTTTGATGCAAAGGGAAGGGCACCTATTTCATGGAGGTGCCAGTGAGTAGGCATGATCTCCTAGGGATGCTCATGGTCTCTCCAGAGCCAAGACATGGCTTTGATTTGGATGTGAGAATTTTGTTCTCAGGAGACACTGAGAAGCCAGACTATGCCTGGGAACACGAGTCTATGGGGCAGAGGAGGAGGACAGGGATCTAGTCATCTCTGCCATGGTCTTTTTTCCAGGTGAGCACGGAGAGCTTATTGCATCTGCCAGACTTGGGGCCCTCTCCTGGTGTTCACTAGAGAGAATTGCTTGGTTCTTAGCTAATTTAATGATTATCCAAGGAAGGAGTAAAAGGCATTCATGGCCTCATTCATCTCCCTTATGTCTTCACTAGCATCCAGCTAAAGGACTGGTCTATAAGACCATGGGTTTGGCCAGGCAATTTTCTTCTTGAAGGCTAGATATGCCTAAGTCAATTAATGTGGTTATATACTGGCTACATCACTGTGTTGAGGTTTATTTGTTTGCTCTGGGTTTAGGGATTTTTTTAAATTTTGTTTGTATGAACATATGCATGTGTGATGTTGTGTGTGTATGTGTATGTGGTACTCTTATGTTGCATGTGTGGAAACCAGAAGTAAATGTCATATGTCTTCCACTATACTTTCTCATTGAATCTGGAACTTACCCAATTTCAGCTAGACTGACTGGCCAGGAAGCTCTTGGGATCTTCCTGTTTCCATCTGTAAGTGCTAGAGTTTCAGATTTGTGCAGCCATGTCGGGTTTTCTTATGTGTTCTGGGGATTTGAACTCAGGTCCTTATGCTTGGATCAACCATCACTTTACCCACTGAGCCCCCAGCCCATTTGTTTGTGTTTTTTTGTTGTTGTTTTGTTTTGTTTTGAGACATGGTCTCACACAGCTCAAGCTGGTATTGAACTCAGAGTGTATGCAGCCAATGAACTCCTCATCATCTTCCTTCCACTTCCTTAGTCCTGGGATTTTTGTTTGTTTGTTTGTTTTGTTTTTTTGTTTGTTTTTTGAGACAGGGTTTCTCTGTGTAGCTTTGGAGCCTATCCTGGCACTCACTCTGGAGGCCAGGCTGGCCTCGAACTCACAGAGATCCGCCTGCCTCTGCCTCCCGAGTGCTGGGACTAAAGGCGTGCGCCACCAACGCCCAGCCAGTCCTGGGATTTTTAGTGTGAGGTGCCACATCCAGTTTGCATCATTGTTACAGGTACATGTCTTGGCTGAACATTTGTAAGACTAGAGTCAAAGAGATCATTTATGTAAGCAGTTAGCCTGGAAAAGTGATGGCTGTGAAGATGATGGTGGTGACAATGACGGTGATGATAATTATGGTATTGATAATACTAATGATGGTGATGATGGTGGTCACGGATATTCTGTGGCTGCGCTGTAACACCCTGACAAAAAGCAACTCAGGGAACAAAGGGTTTCTTTTGGTTTACAGTTCCAGAGCAGCTACAGTCTTACCAGGGTGGGGAAGGCATGGCAGCAGGAGCATGAGGCTGAACTGGGAGTCAGGAAACAAGAGTGATAACATTTTCTCCCCGTATAAGTATAGAGGAAAAAAAGAAGTGGAGTCAGGCTATAAAACCCCAAAGTCTGGGGACTGGAGAGATGGCTCAGCGGTTAAGAGCACTGACTATGGACTCTTCTTCCAGAGGTCCTGAGTTCGATTCCCTGCAACCACATGGTGGCTCACAACCACATTGAATGAGATCTGGTGCCCTCTGCTGGCATGCAGGCAGAAGACTGTATACATTATAATAATAATAAGAAGAAGAAGTCTACTCTTAGATATACTTCCTTCAGCAAGGCTCCACCTCCTAAAGGCTTCATCACCTTCCCCAATAGTGCCACCAGCTGAGGCTAACTGTTGGAGGCCACAAGCCTGTGGTGGACATTTCTCACTCAAATGACAGCAATGTACATTAGAACTGATGAGGAGTTGTTCATATAGTCCACCTTGATCCACAGGCTGGCAGATCTCTATCCTTGCCTGGTACCTGGTTCATAGACCACTCATCCGGAGTCTGTTAGCATCTGCTCTAAGACCCTGTCCCAGTGCTACAGTTTATTAACTGACCTCACACATAAACAAGAGTCTCACTTAGTCCTCTGTGCTTTTCTTTACCATGATCAGATTCTCTGCTTCAATCCCCAGTAATCGAAAGAAACACAATCTCAAAAAGCAAATGCTGAAGAGAGTGGAAATGCTAATTTGGCCCTCTTGTTTTGAACAGGAACTGAAATTCTGAGCAAGTCAGTTCGAATTATCTTCTCCACGTTAGGAGTCTGCACATTTTTTGCAATCGGCTACATGGTGCTGCCTCTGTTTGCATACTTCATCCGAGACTGGCAGATGCTGCTGCTGGCACTGACACTTCCTGGGGTGCTGTGTGTCCCCCTGTGGTGGTGAGTACAACCTCCATTCCCACACCCCCCACCCCACCCCTAGAGATGAGCCCACTGCTTACCTAGCTGGATCTGTGTGCTCTCTGAGGCAGCCTGGTACCTCCAGGCTCCCAGCACTCTCTGCATCTCCATGAGTGGGCACGTGTAATGTACAAAGCCTGGTTCTCAGGCATTCCAGCCTTCTTCCAGATGCTTCCCACCCCAGTCGCATGCCCATTTTCTTGTTGTCTGTGGAGCTGGTACTGTTGGGCAATGTTTTTAACTTTGTCCTTAGTTTTGGGCACTTTTCTTTCTTTAGAAATCTTCTTTCTCTATTCAAGTTCTCAATTCAAGTTCGGTCCTCCGAGGCTACCCACATGTATGACGTAAAGAACAGAACCAAAAAAAAAAAATAGTGCCCTGAGCATGTTTAGACTGTTTTTTCTTCTTATTCCCAAAACAATACACTCCAGCCACTCTTACACTGTGTTTGAGTTTTATTAGATAGAGAGGCTGATGGTGGGTAGCTAGAAAGCAGAATACCCAAGGCCCATATCCAGCAAACTCCCCACAAATGGAGTGTTAGACATTGTGTTGGATATTATAGGTAATCCAGAGATACGTGTATATAAGATATGCATAGATTATATACAAATCTTACACCTATTTTATTGAAGCTGTTTTGCTTTGCTGTGCTGGTGTGCATGCTAGCAAGCACTCTTCCGCTAAGCTACACTCTAGTCCCAATTTTGTTTTAGATGAGGCCCTGTCATGTTTTGTAAATTGGGTCTTGAGCTCCTGGGTCCAAGTGGTCCTCCCACCTCAGCCTCCTGAGTAGCTAGCCTACAGGCACCCAGACTACTGTGCCTGGCTATGCCATTTTATGTAATAGGGTTGAACATGAGAGAATTTTGGTGTCTGCCAGGGATCCTAGGACCAATTCTACAGAGAACAAGGAACATGTAACTCCTCTTCACAGTTAACATCTAAGGTATACTTGGTGTGTGTGTGTGTGTGTGTGTGTGTGTGTGTGTGTGTGTGTATTGTCCTGAAAAATGAGTTATTTTCAGCAGAGTCTCTTGTATTCTAGGCTTGCCTTGGACTCCTCAATAGGAACCATTGGTGGCCTTGTCCTTCTTATCCTTCTGCCTTTACCTCCCAAATGCTAGGATAACAGGTGTTTGCTACCACAAACAGCTTATGCAGTGCTAGACATGGAGCCCGGAACTTCATGCATGCTAGGAAAGCTCACCCTGAGT